CATACCGAACCTAAAAAACCATTTAATAAGAAAAATTCAGGTGAAATTTGTGACTTATCTATAGGTGATATAATTTTTTCACTATTTTTTCCATAATCTGCACACAAAATACTGTTGAAATCACTAGTTAAACATCCTTCAATTTTTTCATCGCAGACCTGTGTTATTTGGAAACACAAAAAATTAATATTTAAACATTTTGTATGCCACTGCCATTCATACGTGCATCTAGTTTACCATGGAAAAGGAAAACGAAGAAAAGCTTCCATTCTTGTTTGTAAGGAATATTACTGCAGTTCTATCCCAACACCAAATGGATGTTTTTCAACTCCTCGACACGTGTTTCAATCACCAAGTGATCATCATTCAGAGGAAAGTTATTGTCTGTAGTGTAGTATGTATGTATGTAGTGGTCAACAGAAAAACTGACAGAAATAGGTCACACAGTTTATCGCAAACCTACTCATACTAATCGATATCTCAACAAAAGCTCAAACCATGATTTGTGCCACCAGGATTTGTGAACCACATCATCTTGGAAAACTTCGTCATCTAGACCTAGCTTCACAAGCCAATGGTTTCAAAGAGCACAGTTCACAAGAACTCGGCCTTTCGCAGATCACAACTTGGCGAATATTGCACCTGAACTGGGCCTGCACTCATACAAAATTCAATTGACCCAGGAACTGAAGGTACACGATCATATACAACGACATGTGATCTGGAGCAGTCACAATTTGGTGTGGATTTTGAGCTGGCGGCGTCATCTGTCCATATTTGTTTGAGAACGACGTTGGCCAGGCCATCACAGTCAATGACGAGCACTATAGGCTGATCATTACCAACTTCTTTTGACCTGAATTAGACTACCTGGACACCAACTACATGTGGCACAGATTATGTCACATTGGATATTCTACACGGACGATTCAAAGGCATAGTAATGTCACGTGGAAGTGGCCACCGAGATCGCGTGTTTGACTTCGTTAGACTCTTTCTTGTGGTTTTCTTCAGTCGCAGGTGTATGCGAATAATATTTCGATAATATCTCACACACACTTTGTTTCATCTGAATTCAAAAATAGAGAACGCCTAATGAAAGACCCTTCGCAACCACCAGTGGTAGCCACCAGGTACTTAAGGTTCCATTCAACAACCAGCCCGAATTTTTTTCTTTTCAATCGTGATTCCCGGCGTGAAGGCCTATGTTTTCATATGCATTTTGATACTTGAGAATTCTTGAACATTCAACTATTCAGTCATAGAATTATAACATAATGAAATCAAGTAATGTAGGCTTCAATATGTTTTGGACTTTTTTCAGGATAATGAGAATATAGAGTATTCTCAAATTTACTTCTCATATCCCACGAGGCCATCTGTATCAATCCTCAATGGACTCAACCTGTCGATACTGGAAGGAAAAACTGTTGCATTGGTAGGAGCCAGCGGTTGTGGAAAATCTACAATTATCCAGCTTCTAGAACGATTCTATGACCCAGCATACGGAGATATTTCTATAGGAGGAGAGTACACCAAGAAGATGGACATCAGCTTCTTGAGGTCTCACTTGGGAATAGTTTCCCAGGAGCCGAACCTTTTTGACAAAACCATTGCCGAAAATATTGCCTATGGTGCAAACTACAGAGATGTTAATATGGACTCCATAGTGAAGGCTGCAAAGAGTGCGAATATCCATAGTTTCATCACTTCTCTACCATTGGTGAGAAAGAGTCGTTACACTTGGTTTACTGAATGAATTTGAACTTGTTGAATTGCAGGGTTACGAGACTAAAATCGGCAGTAAAGGAACTCAGCTGTCCGGAGGCCAGAAACAGAGGATCGCGATAGCCCGGGCCCTGGTTAGAGATCCGAAGATTCTGCTTCTAGACGAGGCTACATCAGCGTTAGATAACGAAAGTGAAAAGGTGAACAATTGTAAATCTAATTTATCGATGCTGTTGTGTACGGGTTTCTATTCCTGACGTTTTATCTACAAGCGCGGTGATCACTATCAAAAGCGATGAGGTATCGGAAGCAGTGTTCTAGTTGTTTCAAAGCTCGAGTCTCTGATGGTGGACATGTAGCTGAGTTCTTATTATTCATTTGAGCTGAACAACGTTTATTAGTAATAATAATAATACCGTCTTTATTATCTTCTAATACATTCAAATCAAATTAATCATGTACAGTTCATTTATTATAAGAAGACAAAAGGCGAAGTTCAATTTACATGATGACAAGTCATCATTCAGTTGCTCTTCCACTTAACCTCAAAAATGTCGCCTAGTACGCAAAGGAATAAACAAAAAGAATTTTTAAATATCTTAAAATATTATGACTATTTATAGATTTGTAATAGGTAGGTAGNACCTCATTTCTTTTGATTTTCTATCCTTATGATCTTGGAAAGTAACTCTTAATTTCCGGCGCTTCCCTCGTGTGATTTGTTCTTCATCTGCAGTGGATTGATTCGCAATATTATTCAATGTTAATACATTACGTCTTCGCTGTGAATGAATATTGCTGACTTTCCTTTTATTATGACAATAATTACTTAGAGGACACAATCATAAACGTCATAATCTCTATTATCTTCGCGCAAAACATGACAACTGTCACAACCTAACAAACCCAACGTCATCAATTTATCAAATCCTAATTTTCCGAATGTTTCAACGGCTAGTCGGACAAAAACAAATACAAAAAATACAAACTTTGCGACTTCAATGTATGAATAGGATTTTTTAATTTTGAGAATAGTTCAATCCTGAAACAAGAACGTTCTGCAGTTGTTGGTAGTTTCATTTCAGAACCCAGGCAATGTTACCACCTGTTCCATCGGTTCCTCCAGACATATATACAGGGTACCCACCAATTCTAGGTACGACATCCTCGCAAACGTAGGTAAATATTCTCGTTTGTACCTCACTTCAAGTTAATCAATATGACCGAATAAAAGAAGGAGAATGCTCGACATAACTTGGTCTACCTAACTGCAAAATGAATAAATTCAACAAAATTAACTATTATAATGGAATATAAATAAGTGTTAGAATTTTGGCTCTGATTGCTCAGAGGAATCCTAGACCTGTGGAAATAGAAAATACAAAATTAAATTATTGGTATGTTACAACCTACAAGTTGTAATTGACAAAAAGGTTCCTTTCCTATTCACATTGGCTCGCAAACATTATAAAATAAAATCTTACAACGTAGGTATTTAGTTATTTCTCACTTCATTGATTGTGTTACGTTTCAATTTAGCACTAGATCAAACTGCTCTTATGTGACCTTTCAAAACACTACGTTACCTTTTAAGATCTTTATTCAAAGGATATTAACAATGTAATTAAGTTACAAGTAGATTTTATTCATTTAACATCATAGTAATGGGAATCTTCCGTTCCATAGAAAACCATACCTGAAATGTATAAGAATAAATGTATGCTCCCTGACTAACTGCTTTGACCAGTACTTACGCATTCTCCTATTGCCAATCGACGTTGGAGATCCGAAATTCCTCGCTAGGTTGAAATAGTTGTTATTGTTTGTTTCTCAGTTTTCTTCACCTATCATTTTTTTTGCCGTTGTCTGCCTTATTCCCTATATCTTTCCAAGAATATTTCTTGCATAGATCGTTATTCATTACTTCCAGAAGGATTACTGACATATTAGAGCCATATCGCCTGAAAAACAATATTAGTTAGCTCTGGTTTCTGAATACTGTTTGATATTTTCGGTAAATATTCTG